GGAATGGAACCAGAATTCCGGGGAGTCTCATTCTCCCAACCACTGGAGTTCAAGCCCCGACTGGTGTGTAAGCTCTCCTGGGGAGGGGCATGGGACTGCCCTGGGTAGCACCCTGAGTGCTCCAGGAATCCTGCCGAGTCTTCTGTATTCACTTTCTCACTGGATCCTCATCAATCCTGAGAGAGATATTCTTGGGTTCATTTTTAAATTAAGGAAGTAGAGGCTCAGAGAGGTTAAATAACTTGTGTAAAGTCACACAGCTAGGAAATGGCAAGGCCAAAGATTCCTCACATTCTCTAGACTGCAGCTGGTTAGGGATTTGGGGAAACTTATTTTTTTCCCTAAGAAAAATTTCCTTTGGCAGGGCAGTGTGTGTATGTATGTGCACGCATGTGAACATGCACATGCATGAGTGTGAGAGAGAATGTGTGTGTGTGAGATATATATACACATCTCTCTCTCTCTCTGTTTATCTGTATCTATATCTATATCTATATATATGCATAGGCTTCTAGTAGCTAGGTATGAGTAGAAGGATGCATCTCATGGTGTATGCACAAGGAGAGCAAATCCATGTGAGATTTCCTCAGTTGTTGGGGTTTCTGGTTTTGGTAAATGTAGTGGAAAGGCCACAACCATTTCCAGACTTTTTTTTTTTTTTGGAGAGGTTTTTGGTATAGGGCACGTGCGCTCGCCAGAAAGACAGAGATACAGAGAGACAGAAAGAGAGAAATCACCCCCCAGGGGGATGGCCATGCCGCAATCCCTTCTCCTCCATTCTCCTCTTGGACCTTGGGCATGCATGCACACACGCCCGGCGTGAGTTTAAGCCACCGGGTCCAGGACTTGACCCGTGGTCAACTACATGTGAGTCCAGGGACATAGCCATTATGCTAACTGCTGGTCCCTACAATATGTTTTTTTAAAAAGGGTCATAGATGGGGCATGCACAGGACAGTTCTGTATATCTTGCTGATGTCGGCAGGGAGGGGCTTGGTGTTCTGGAAGGGGTGATATTCTCTCAAAGTCAACCTGAGCTGATTGGGCAAGGAGTGTGTCTGACATGAGGGTGACCTACCACACACATCCACATACACGTGTCTTACCTGATGATAGCTTGTAGCAGCAAAGCCGACGGAGAACTTCATGGGGATGATAGCAATGCCTTTTTTCTTCCAGTAGTTCTTCTTATTGAACTCTTCCACTTGCATTCTTCTGCTGTGAAAGGAAGACTTGTCCAGACATTCGTTCCAACATCTTATTAGGGTTTCAGGGTTGAATGCTTGTTTGTAGATAGTTTTATCAACTGTTTTGTACATGTTTTTCTCTCTAATCTGAAATGGGTAGGAAATCCAGTCAATAGTTATGGTAAGACAGGCAACGACTGCCAAATAGAGACCTGAAAGGCCTCTCCACTAAAGCACAAGCTTTGATGGGGAGGGGAGAGATGATGGGGGAGTCAGGATTGTGTTTTCTTTTCTTTTTTTTTTTTGGAGAGGTTTTTGCTATAGGGTGCATGCACTCACCAGAAAGACAGAGAGAGTCAGAGAGGCAGAAAGTGAGAAATCCCCCTCCCCCCAAGGGGGATGGCCATGCAGCAATCCCTTCTCCTCCATTCTCCTCTTGGGATCTTGGGCATGCACACACACGCGCCTGGCATGAGTTTAAGCCACTGAGTCCAGGACTTGAGAGGCAGTCAATTACAGGGGAGTCCAGCTATGTAGCCATTATGCCAACTGCTGGTCCCCTTTTTCTTCAAAAAGCATGTACTTTTGCAAAAGTGATGGTTATTTTTCATTTCTCTCTCTTTTTTGATGATAGACTGAATGCATGAAAGAGGCAGAGAGATAGAGAGAGAGGCATTCTTGACAGGGTCTCATCATGCCACAATCCCCTGTCTCCAGTCCTCCAGTTCCTCAGAATCCTGGGAGCTTGTGCACACTTGGTGTGTTTTCAAGCTGACTTGGGGATCCAACTCTGTAGTTGTCTCATGGCTTCCAGCCTACCAGAGCACTGTGCAATGGCTGTGCCACCATGGCAGGACCCATTTTTCATCTCTTAATCAGTGCACTATTCAGGGTCTGTCCTCCCTGGAAGTCAGGGTAGTAGGTGGCTTCTATGGAAGGCAGTGGGGTGGAGGGGTCTAAGGAGGCAGAGTTTTTCTTTTTCCTCTCAAGGTTCAGGGGATTAACAGAGCTGGTAGACAGCACATCAAAGCAAAGACTTATCATTCCTGAAGATTTGTTGTGCTAGAGAGGAATAGCATTGCAGATAATGACAAATAGCAGATCCTCTCTAAGTCTTCCAATGGCCTTTGGAATGTGGGGTTAACTATTGACATTTTTTTCTTTATTAATGGCTGATTCTGAGCATGTGAAAGTGAGAGTGAGAGTGAGATGACGGAGAGGGAGAGAAAGAGAGGGAGATAGAGGAGCATCCCCCACAGGGTCTGGTCACTCCCTGATTCCCTTCCTCAAGTCCTCCATCCTGTCAGATCTTGGGGACTTGTGCCTGTGCCCAGTGCGTTTCAGGCTGATTTTAGGGGGCAGATTTGAACTGCGGTTGCCACTGGGATCCAGCTTCTCTTGAGCAGTGCTTTACTGCTGCACCATGGAGCTGGTCCTTTGGTTAACTATTTTTTAAAAATGTACTTGGGCCAGCCAGCGGCCTGGTGGTTAAGGTGGTTGAATCCCACAAGGCTGACTGTGTGGTTTCAGTCCAGGACTTGAAAGCTTGGAGAATACACTGGGAGTGAGTGCGAGTCTATGGTAAATCCCAAAAGTAGGGCAAAAAGGAGGAGGAGGGATGGTGGCATGATAGTTCCCTAAGAGGAACTAGCGTTTTCTCATTTCCTCTCTCGCTTGTGAGTGCACACATCCTCTAGCAAAAAATTTAAAACATTTACTTGAATTCAGTGTGTTTTATGTCCTGGGAACTTGCAACACTAAACAAAGAAGGGGAGCCTGTTGGACTATGCCCTGCAGTTTTTCGTGATCTCCATCTTTTTCTTTTCTTCTTCTTTTTATAATTAATAGAGTTTTTTTTGCTATAGGGAATGTGAGCTTGCCAGAGAGACAGAGAGAGACACAGAGAGACAGAGAGACAGAAAGAGAGAAATCACCCCTCGGAGGATGGCCAGACCACAATTCCTTCTCCTCCATTCTCCTCTCAGGATTTTGGGCACGCACACATACATGCCCGGTGTGGGTTTTATGCTGCTGAGTCCAGGACTCAAACCGTGGTGGACTACATAGGAATCAAGTGACACAACCGTTACGCCATCTGCTGGTCTCAGATCTCTATCTTTTCCTAATAACAATTATTATTATCAGGCTGGCTCAGTGGTACAATGGTCACGTGTAGCCCAGATGAAGCTGGATCCATGTGGAAGTCTGTGGTTTTGGTTCCCAATCAACCTGTGTATGCCTGGCACGACTGCCCATGGTCATGGCGGGAGGGCAAAGGGGCAGGAATCATGATGTGGGTCCCTGTTGGGTGTGCTTCTTTCTCTCTTGTTCTCCCTCATGAAAGAAAGAAACTTTTTCTTTTCTCTTTTTTTGAGAGGTTTTTGCTATAGAACGCGGGCGCTCACCAGACAGACAGAGAGAGACAGAAAGACAGAAAGCGAGAAATCACCCCCTAGAGGGGATGGCCACGCCACAATCCCTTCTCCTCCATTCTCCTCTCTGGATCTTGGGCAGGCACGCACATGCGCCCGGCGTGAGTTTAAGCCACTGGGTCTGGGACCCGAACCACAGTCGACTACGTGGAAGTCCAGCGACATAACCATTACGCTAACTGCTGGTCCCGAAAGAAATAAACTTTAAGAAATTATTATTGGGTTAGCTCTGGAGCATGGTAGATAAAGTAGCCAGATCCCACATGGCTGACCATGCAATTGAATCCTAGACCTGGAAGCTTGAGAAACACACTGGCATGTGTGCATGCCGAGAAAGGAGGGGGATGGAGAAGGGATTGCAGTGTGATCATTCTGGGTGGGGGAGGGGTGTTTTCTTCTCTTTGTCTCTCTCTGGTAAACACACACACCATGTAGCAACAGTAACAACAAAAAATCCCAACACAAACAAAAAACCCAAAAGCAACAAAATAATTGTTTTCAGCAATGACATTGGAATATCACCTAATTTATAAAAACAAACATTTTAATGAATGTTAGCTCATTTGATCTTTGTAGGAACTCTGTAAGGTAAGTTATTTTGTCCTTGTTTTATAGATAAGGAACCTATTGAGTAGGTCCTGGAGCCTACTGTTGTTGCCAAGGGTATATGTGCGTGCTTGCCCCCTGGCAGAATAGAGAAATGGAGGAGAAGGGATTGCTGCATGACCATGCCCCATTGGGGAGTGCTTCTTCCTTCTCTCTCTGTGATGAACACACATGCCCTCTGGAAAAAAAGAAACAATAAAAAAGAAACCACGTTATGAAAAGGCTGACTCTCCTTGTTCATGCTGCTCCATTTGCCTAGATTACTTTCGCATTTTCTGTGCCTGTCATTCTTTTTTTTTTTTTTTTTTTGAGAGGTTTTCGCTATAGGGCGCGTGCACTCGCCAGACAGAGAGAGAGACAGAGAGACAGAAAGAGAGAAATCACCCTCCAGGGGGGATGGTCATGCCGCAATCCCTTCTCCTCCATTCTCTTCTCGGGATCTTGGGCATGTACGCACACGTGCCCGGCGTGAGTTTTAAGCCACCGGG